TTATAATTAAATCAAAACAAAAAAACACAAAGGTCCCCTGATTCTTTGAAACTTCTTCAAAAAAAAATTTTGGCGACTTTTTTAAAATTAAAATTTTTTTATGGACATTTTCGAAACTTAACTAGATGCATTTTCTTGTTGATTTCGAGCTCTAGAACTCAAATCCGGCTTCCGGTTTTTTGATACCTGTAACCGTTTTTCCAGAATCGACCGTTGAAATATCGAAATTTTTGAAATTTTCAAAAATTCCCATTTCGTAGCGATTTTTTCGAAAATGTTGCTTAGTGACCATCAACATGCTATATTTTTGCAATCAACGTGTCGAGATCTACGTCACTGAATTTTTTCATAATTTTTAGACAACTTTTTTAAAATTGAAATTTTTTAATGGTCTACTCTTCTTCAAATTTCGGAAAAATTTTGACATTTTCGAAACTTAACTAAATGCACTTTCTTGTAGATTTCAAACTGTAGAACTTCATTCCTGCTTCGGTTTTTTGATAACTGCAACCGTTTTTCCAGAATCAACCGCTGAAATATCGAAATTTTTGAAAATTTCAAAAATCCGCATTTCGTAGCGATTTTTTCGAAAATGTTGCTTAGTGACCACCAACATGCTATATTTTTGCAATCAGCGTGTCGAGATCTACGTCACCGAATTTTTTCATAATTTTTTGCCAACTTTTTTAAAATTGAAATTTTTTAATTTCTTCAAATTTTGGAAAAATTTTGACTTTTTCGAAACTTAACTAAATGCATTTTCTTGTAGATTTCAAGGTCTAGAGGTTCATTCCGGCTTCGGTTCTTTGATAACTGCAACCGTTTTTCCAGAATCGACCGTTGAAATATGGAAATTTTTAAAATTTTCAAAAATTCGCATTTCGTAGCGATTTTTTCGAAAATGTTGCTTAGTGACCATCAACATGCTATATTTTTGCAATCAGCGTGTCGAGATCTACGTCACTGAATTTTTTCATAATTTTTAGAGAACTTTTTTAAGATTGAAATTTTGTAATGGTCACCCCTTGTTCAAATTTCGGAAAAATGTTCACATTTTCGAAACTTAACTAAACACATTTTCTTGTAGATTTCGAACTGTAGAACTTCATGCCGGCTTCGGTTCTTTGATAATTGCAACCGGTTTTCCAGAATCGACCGTAAAAATATCGAAATTTTTGAAATTTTTAAAAATTCGCATTTCTTAGCGATTTTTTTCGAAAATGTTGCTTAGTGACCATCAACAAGCTATATTTTTGGAATCAGCGTGTCGACATCTACATCCCTGAATTTTTTCTTTTTCTTCAAAAAAAAAAAACACCGAATCCTTTTGAAATTTTTTAAAATTCACAGGGGCACCTGATATTTTACTTTGAAAGAGTTTTAAAAAACGTTAACTTTGATGTTTTTGATGGAGGATTTTTAGAGAAGAATCTCTGTTTTTACTTTTAAAAAGTTGTAAAGAACCCCAGACGGTCTTGACGTTTTTTATGAAAAAATTTAAATAATCTCGCATTTTACTCTTGTGTACACATTTTTATTTTAAGAATCTCAGGGGAACTCAGTACTTTGCTTTTGAAAAAGAGTTTTAAAGAAAGTCATGAGATCATGGTGTTCTTTATATAAAAGAATTTGAAACAATCTTGTTTTAAACAGTCTTGAGGGCTCTTAGTGTTAGGATTTTGGAGAGGTTTTGAAGAAGCCCGGGGGCAGCTGGGGTTAGGTTTTTGAAATTGTTTTAAATAATCTTGAGGGCTCATAGTGATTTTGAAGAAGTTTTTAAGAATCTCGGGGGCACCAGGTGTTAGGTTTTTGAAATTGTTTTAAACAGTCTTGAGGGCTCATAACATTGAGACTTTGGAGACTTTTTAAAGAATCTCGGGGGCACCTAGTCTTAGGTTTTTGAAATTATTTTAAAAAAATCTTGAGGGGTCATAGTGTTAGGATCTTGGAGAAGTTTTTAAGAATCTCGGGGGCACCTGTGTTAGGTTTTTGAAATTATTTTAAATAATCTTGAGGGCTCATAGTGTTGGGATTTTTGAGAGGTTTTAAAGAATCTCGGGGGCACCTGGTCTTAGGTTATTTTAAAAAATCTGGAGGGCTCAAAGTTTTGGGATTTTGAAGAAGTTTTTAAGAATCTCGGGGGCACCTAGTGTTAGGTTTTTGAAATTGTTTTAAATAATCTTGAGGGCTCAAAGTTTTGGGATTTTGAAGAAGTTTTTAAGAATCTCGGGGGCACCTAGTGTTAGGTTTTTGAAATTGTTTTAAATAATCTTGAGGGGTCAATAGTGTTGGGATCTTGGAGAAGTTTTTAAGAATCTCGGGGGCACCTGTGTTAGGTTTTTGAAATTGTTTTAAATAATCTTGAGGGCTCGTAACATTGAGATTTTGGAGAGGTTTTAAAGAATCTCGGAGGCACCTGGTCTTAAGTTTTTGAAATTATTTTAAAAAAGCTTGAGGGGTCATAGTGTTAGGATCTTGGAGAAGTTTTTAAGAATCTCGGGGGCACCAGGTGTTAGGTTTTTGAAATTGTTTTAAACAGTCTTGAGGGGTCATAACATTGAGATTTTGGAGAGTTTTTAAAGAATCTCGGGGGCACCTAGTCTTAGGTTTTTGAAATTATTTTAAAAAAATCTTGAGGGGTCATAGTGTTAGGATCTTGGAGAAGTTTTTAAGAATCTCGGGGGCACCTGTGTTAGGTTTTTGAAATTATTTTAAATAATCTTGAGGGCTCATAGTGTTGGGATTTTTGAGAGGTTTTAAAGAATCTCGGGGGCACCTGGTCTTAGGTTATTTTAAAAAATCTTGAGGGCTCAAAGTTTTGGGATTTTGAAGAAGTTTTTAAGAATCTCGGGGGCACCTAGTGCTAGGTTTTTGAAATTGTTTTAAATAATCTTGAGGGCTCAAAGTTTTGGGATTTTGAAGAAGTTTTTAAGAATCTCGGGGGCACCTAGTGTTACGTTTTTGAAATTGTTTTAAATAATCTTGAGGGCTCAATAGTGTTGGGGTCTTGGAGAAGTTTTTAAGAATCTCGGGGGCACCTGTGTTAGGTTTTTGAAATTATTTTAAATAATCTTGAGGGCTCATATTGTTGGGATTTTTGAGAGGTTTTAAAGAATCTCGGGGGCACCTGGTCTTGGGTTATTTTAAAAAATCTTGAGGGCTCAAAGTGTTGGGATTTTGAAGAAGTTTTTAAGAATCTCAGGGGCACCTGTGTTAGGTTTTTGAAATTGTTTTAAATAATCTTGAGGGCTCGTAACACTGAGATTTTGGAGAGGTTTTAAAGAATCTCGGAGGCACCTGGTCTTAAGTTTTTGAAATTATTTTAAAAAAGCTTGAGGGGTCAATAGTGTTGGGATCTTGGAGAAGTTTTTAAGAATCTCGGGGGCACCTGTGTTAGGTTTTTGAAATTATTTTAAATAATCTTGAGGGCTCATATTGTTGGGATTTTTGAGAGGTTTTAAAGAATCTCGGGGGCACCTGGTCTTAGGTTATTTTAAAAAATCTTGAGGGCTCCTAACATTGAGATTTTGGAGAGGTTTTAAAGAATCTCGGGGGCACCTGGTCTTAAGTTTTTGAAATTATTTTAAAAAAGCTTGAGGGCTCATAACATTGAGATTTTGGAGAGGTTTTAAAGAATCTCGGAGGCAGCTGGTCTTAAGTTTTGAAATTATTTTAAAAAAGCTTGAGGGCTCAATAGTGTTGGGATCTTGGAGAAGTTTTTAAGAATCTCGGGGGTACCTGTGTTAGGTTTTTGAAATTGTTTTAAATAATCTTGAGGGCTCGTAACATTGAGATTTTGGAGAGGTTTTAAAGAATCTCGGAGGCACCTGGTCTTAAGTTTTTGAAATTATTTTAAAAAAGCTTGAGAGGTCATAGTGTTAGGATCTTGGAGAAGTTTTTAAGAATCTCGGGGGCACCTGTGTTAGGTTTTTGAATTTATTTTAAATAATCTTGAGGGCTCATAGTGTTGGGATTTTGAAGAAGTTTTTAAGAATCTCGGGGGCACCTAGTGTTAGGTTTTTGAAACTGTTTTAAATAATCTTGAGGGCTCCTAACATTGAGATTTTGGAGAGGTTTTAAAGAATCTTGGGGGCACCTGGTCTTAAGTTTTTGAAATTATTTTAAAAAAGCTTGAGGGCTCATAATGTTGGGATCTTGGAGACGTTTTTAAGAATCTCGGGGGCACCTGTGTTAGGTTTTTGAAATTATTTTAAATAATCATGAGGGCTCATAGTGTCGCGATTTTGGAGAAGTTTTAAAGAATCTCGGAGGCACCTAATGTTATGTTTTTGAACTGGTTTTAGGGAATCTTGAGTTCCCCTTGTTTTATAGTTTTGAAATAATGTTAAAGATTGTTTTAGTTCGAATTCAGCAACGAGTCAGGCGTGGTTGTTGTTACTAATATATTTGTAAATATAGCTCGCGAATCATCCCTAGATTGCGTGTTGGCTCATTTTAAAAATAACATCGCACACCCATCGATTAAAGAATGCGGAGACAATTCTAAGAGTAATATAGCTCGCTTCGCTCGCTAAAAAAAATCTCCCAGACTAATGAAATTCCTGCGACGCCATAATGATTCTCCAAGACTTATCTTATAACTTTTAATTAAGCGAAACGTAGTGCGTTAAGCCGGCCGAAATCGTGCGAAAATTTAATCTCAAATTAAAATAACTACACGTTCCTGCATATTTGCGTTCAAATCCGGCGAAGTGGTTTCACTAAATTACCTGCTGAAAACTGAAGTGGACCTATGAACATAAAATCGATAGAGTGTGCAGGATGCAGACAGAATGTCTGGCTAGTTCAGCAAAATACATTTCACCAACTCGAATATTTCACTCTGATTTCACCTACGGGAAGTTTAAATCGAATCAATTTTATGTTTGATAAAACTCGACGAACAAAAGTGGGTTACTGCAATCAGTTGCGGGACAGAATTCCAAAATAATGCATGGGTGTTGGGCTACATGGTACTTTACTTAGTTTTTTTTTTTCAGAAACCCCCTTTAAAGATGGAGTGTGGAGTAACGGGGGGTTACACGAACGGGACCACTCCTGCGGGAATCCTGGCCGACGTCCGCTCGCAGCGCTCGCCTTCCAAAACCGGGCTGCACGTCAATTTCAAGGACAAGGGCGAGATTAAGGAGCGCAGGGAGAAGTTCCTCACTGCCAAATACGGACATCATCAAATGAGTCTGATTCGAAAACGACTGGCTGTGGAAATGTGGCTTTACGAAGAGCTCAAAAAGCTCTACGAAACTTCGGTGAGTGCTGATAATGGAAAGTTATTATAAACTCCCGGTGCGTGTAGTCAATCTTTTGTCTAGACTTCATAAATTCGGAATGATTTGAAACGCGCGTTTTAGGCATCGATCGACCCGCAGACGCTCGAGGTGTGTTATTAAAAGTTCACTCGTGATTTCTTTCGTTTAATTAGATTTAAATTTGGGGAACAATGGCTGTGTGAGCGGCTTTCGAGTTATGAATTTTTCATGAAAGAGCATAACAGTCGGAACTGCTGCATAAATGGGAGAAATTGGTGTTGTGAGCCGTTTATTCTTTGGAAATTGTGATGCGGTTCGCAGCACATGACCTTCTCTTATCAAGTTATCAAGGATTTAACGTGTGCGTTTTAGGAACGAACGGGTGTAAATATTTGTTTATCGTGCCCGCAGACATCGGTAATATTCCTGCTTTAATTATATAAGTACGAGTACAGTGTGAAATAAAATAGCGCGATGTGTTCTCAGGTGCACTTAACCTGTACAACCGTAAAAAGTGTCGCTTCTTTCCATTATTAAATGCTCGTTTAGCGTCGTCGCTGAAAGTGCGACCACAGCAGAGATGAATAATCCCACAACCGCCCCACTTGCTAAAATTACCCAACACTAATGACATAATTTGATCTGTTTTTAATGCGACAAAAATGACCTCCTAAAGAATTTTCCCATGTGTTAGCGTCTTCCAATCTGTGCAGTTAATGTTGAATTAAAAAAGCCACCATGTGTTGCTTCGTTCTGTAACTGATGTCAGCCGCATTCTTCCAACGCGAAATTTACCCACCTCGCTATCTAAATATACTCACTCTCAACCCTTGTAAAATCAGCGAGATCTGCTCACTTTAATGAAATTAAAAAAAAAACGGGCTTTAATTAATTTCCTCGTCGCATCTTTCGAGCTTCTGAGGTCGATGACTTTATAATTTTAATGGATGTTGGCAGCGGAGTGCTCCTCGGGGAAATCTGTCGAGCCCCCGTCACTTGACGCGTGTGGGGTTAAAAATCACACGTCTAGGCGGGTCACCGAGGTCAACAATAAACGCAATCCGGGAAAATGAGAAAGTCGATACGCTAAGTGCGTCAGAGCTTAGGTTTAGGCGGAAACAATGATGTCTAAATTAGTCCGAGCCGAAATTTTGACACCGAGAGGATGGATCATAATTTGTCGGGTTATTCTGGGAGAGCGCTGATTAATTTTTGGGCTTATGAGGGACACGTGTTTGTGGTTGGCGCATTTGGGTTATTTTGGGTGAGAAATTTGTAACAATTTGGGGAAGTTTGTTGGCGCTTAGCTGGATGGTGACGTTTAGTGGAGCGCGCGGATTGGTTGCGACGTCACGGCAGTTTGACAGGTGGATTGTGCGCTGGTTTGACGAGGCGGCAAAAGTGGCAGCAGTGGAAACTGGAGTTTCTTTGGCAGTTATATTATATAAAATTTTATTTATTTATTTATTTATTTAATTATTTTTTATTTATCTATTTATTTATTATTTATTTATTTATTTATAAAATTAGGAATTTTTCAGAGGCGAGATTCTTTCAAACCTCCTCAAAAACCGAGCACAAGAGGTCCCCGAGATTCTTTTAAATTTCTTCAAAAATCAAACAAAAGCGGTCCCCGAGATTTTTTCAAACTTCTTCAAAAACAAAAGACAGGGGACCCCGAAATTCTTTTAAACTTCTTCAAAAACCAACACAAGGGGTCCCCGAGATTCTTTCAAACTTATTCAAAAACAAAAGACGGAGGGGCCTGAGATTCTTTTAAACTGCTTCAAAAATCAAGCAAAAGCAATCCCCGAGATTCTTTCAAACATCTTCAAAAATCCAAGAAAAGCGGTCCCCGAGATTCTTTCAAACTTCTTCAAAAATCAAACAAAAGCGGTCCCCGAGATTCTTTCAAACTTCTTCAAAAACGAAAGACAGGGGACCCCAAGATTCTTTTAAACTTCTTCAAAAATCCAAGGAAAGCACTCCCCGAGATTCTTTTAAACTTCTTCAAAAATCAAACAAAAGCGGACCCCTAGATTCTTTTATCGGACCCCGAGATTTTTTTAAACTTCTTCAAAAATCAAACAAAAGCGGTCCCCGAGATTCTTTCAAACTTCTTCAAAAATCAAGCAAAAGCGGTCCCCGAGATTCTTTTAAACATCTTCAAAAATCCTAGAAAAGCGGTCCCCGAGATTCTTTTAAACTTCTTCAAAAATCAAACAAAAACGATCCCCGAGACTCTTTCAAACATCTTCAAAAATCAAGCAAAAGCACTCGTCGAGATTCTTTGAAACATCGTCAAAAATCCTAGAAAAACGGTCCCCGAGATTCTTTCAAACTTCTTCAAAAGCAAACAAAAGCGGTCCCTGAGATTCTTTTAAACTTCTTCAAAAATCAAACAAAAACGATACCCGAGACTTTCAAACATCTTCAAAAATCAAGCAAAAGCAGTCCCCGAGATTCTTTGAAACATCGTCAAAAATCCTAGAAAAACGGTCCCCGAGATTCTTTCAAACTTCTTCAAAAGCAAACAAAAGCGGTCCCTGAGATTCTTTCAGACTTCAAAAATCGAACAAAAACGATCCCCGATACTCTTTCAAACATCTTCAAACATCTTCAAAAATCAAGCAAAAGCAGTCCCCGAGATTCTTTCAAACATCTTCAAAAATCCAAGAAAAGCGATCCCCGAGATTCTTTCAATCCTCTTCAAAAATCAAACAAAAGCGGACCCCGAGATTTTTTTAAACTTCTTCAAAAATCAAACAAAAGCGGTCCCCGAGATTCTTTTAAACTTCTTCAAAAATCAAACAAAAACGATTCCCGAGACTCTTTCAAACATCTTCAAAAATCAAACAAAAGCAGTCCCCGAGATTCTTTCAAACATTGTTCTGTTAGTCAATGAAAATTTATTTATTTATTATTTATTTATTTATCTTCAAAAATCCAAGAAAAGCGGTCCCCGAGATTCTTTCAATCTTCTTCAAAAATCAAACAAAAGCAGTCCCCGAGATTCTTTTAAACTTCTTCAAAAATCAAGCAAAAGCGGTCCCCGAGATTCTTTTAAACATCTTCAAAAATCCTAGAAAAGCGGTCCCCGAGATTCTTTCAAACTTCTTCAAAAATCAAACAAAAGCGAACCCCGAGATTCTTTTAAACTTCTTCAAAAATCAAACAAAAGCGGACCCGAGATTCTTTTAAACTTCTTCAAAAATCGAACAAAAACGATCCCCGAGACTCTTTCAAACATCTTCAAAAATCAAGCAAAAATAGTTCCCGAGATTCTTTCAAACATCTTCAAAAATCCAAGAAAAGCGGTCCCCGAGATTCTTTCAAACTTCTTCAAAAATCCAAGAAAAGCAGTCCCCGAAATTCTTTTCAACTTCTTCAAAAATCAAACAAAAGTGGCCCCCGAGATTCTATCAAACTTCTTCAAAACCAAGACCCACAGGGGGTTCCCGAGATTATTTCAAACTACCTCAAAAATAAACCACAAATGGTTCCCGAGATTTTTTTAATTTACTTCGAAAAAACCAAGAAGTCCTTGAGATTGTTACAAACTACTTGAAAAACAAAAGACATGGAGCCTCCGAGATTCTCTCAAATTTCATGAGGGGACAGTATTGAAAAATGGGCCTTTTGGAAAATTTGCCGAAAATTAAAAAAAAATTCAAATTCAAATCTCGACGTATTTATTCGAAAAACATAGCGTGTTTATGGTATCGAAATAAGATTTTTTAAATGTTAGTTTTGAAGATTTTTTTATTAATTCCAAAAACTAACATGTTCCAAACGGGCGTTTCTGGAAAAATAGTTAGAATTTTCGGGGAAATGAACTTCCGGAGGTCGACATTTGTAACGAGATCTTTTTTAGTAATTTTTGGAGGTGGTCGAAAAAAGGTCGAAATTTCGCATCGAAAAATCGAGCTTTCCAAAATGTTATCCAAAAATTGTTGTTTTTCCTGTGGCAAGATTTTAGGAACATTTGATTTGAAACCCTTTTTTAAAAATCCTCAAAATTGATTTATGTCATTGGGCCGTCTGAAAATATGGTAGGAGTTTCCGGAGTAATCAGGCCAAAAATCCTCTGGGGGCTAAATCGACAAGAAAATTTAGGTACTTTTTTAAGGTACATAGTGAAAAATAGGTCGAAATTTTCATAATGAATACTCAGCTGTTGAAAAAGTTGCCTAAAAATCCACAAAATTGTTATTTATTCGGCAATTCGACAAATATTCAGTTTGAAAATATTTATTTTTAAAATCGTAAAAACTGACATATTTTATGTTGGCGATTCTGGAAAAATGAGAAATTTGTAACAAAATCTTTTTTAGTAATTTTCGAAAGGTAGTTGGAAAAATCGAAATTTCCTATCGAAAAATCGATTTTTTGAAAAGTTGTCCAAAAATCCACAAAAAATTCTAAGATATAAATGTCGACGTGCTAATTCGAGAAATTAAGCATGTTCTTTTTCCCGGGACAAGATTTTAAAAATATTCGATTTGAAACTCTTTTTTTAAAAATCCTCAAAATTGAAAAGATGGTAGGAGTTTTCGAAGAAATGAGGCCAAAAATCCTCTGGGGGCTAAATCTACAAGAGAATTTAGGTAATTTTCGATAGTACTGGAAAAGAGGTCGAAATTTTCATTACGAAAACTCAACTTTTGAAAAAGTTGCCTAAAAATCCATAAAGTTATTATTTATTTTTATTCGAAAAACATTCAGTTTGAAAAGAATTTATTTATACAATCGAAAAAACCCACCATACTTTATGTTGGTGATTCTGGAAAAACGGTAGAAATTTTCCAGGAAATGAAGCCGAAAATAACTTCTGGAGTTCAAAATTTCTAACAATTTTTTTTTTAAATCCTCAAAATTGATTGTTTTTATTATGCCCTTCTGAAAAAATGGTAAAGGTTTCCGAAAAAATGAAGCCAAAAATTCTCTGGGGGCTAAATCTACAAAAATATTTAGGTAATTTTCGAAAGTAGTGGACCAGA